CAAACATATACATACACACACACACACACATATATATATATATATACATACATACATACATACATACATACATACACATATATAGGCGCTCGATCTGAGTTAACACTCATTACTATATTAATAACAATGGAGGGCTATAAGCGAAATAAACAGTGCACGAGCAACAATAAGAGTACCACAGAAGCAAATACGTCAGATGAGCTGGTTGACCTTGCATTGATCAAAGCCGTTCGATATGAGCGCGCAGATGACTTCAAAGGACGGATACTTCAGATTGCAAGTACGTGCGTGATGGACGAGGCACGCCACGGCTCGGGCACAGTTGTGCATATCAGACAATTTTCAGATGTCGTATCAAGCAACGAGTTTATCGATGCAGAGGATGCGGCTGGTACGCTAAGAGACCGATGGTCGTACACAGTTCGAGCAGCTACTGAAAACACAGGGACGGTGATGGAAGTAATACGAAGTATCTCCCCTAAACTGAGAAGATATTCTTACAAGGGCCTGAAAAACTATTTAACCAAGCGGATGAGTAATCCTGAAGCAGAGACCGGGAATGACCGGCAACCAATTTCACAATAAAGCTGAATTTTTTTAACATGTATATATGTAATTAAACTATTGAAGTACTATAGCAAATATAGTATGCATGGGGTACAAACCTAACATAAGATACAAATCAACCCAAGAGTGGTTGTATACACCATGTCACCTGTGAATGTAATTGCAATATTTCAGACAACATTGGGGTGGAAGACGGGTCACAATAGTACAGATTACAGAGTTCGAACCATACTCTTCTGTAAACTTTCCAATCGGGTATAAAATTACAGGTGTTTAGTAATTTTCGACTATGGAATGCCGGTTTTCAGCAAATCGTTCATCGCTTGTGCGCTCCGTACAACAACAAGCACGCGCAACGTCACACCGCTCGCCCCTTACGACGATCTAATTTCACATCCAATCGACTCAGAGCACACCACTACGAGTCTCCGAGTATTCTACAGCTTCTTTACATGAGATCTGGACACAAAAAATACGCAGAGAAATGAGGTGTAAGGACCTGTCTCAAGCCGCTTCGTGAATAGGATACCTTTGAGATATAATGACGTATACAATACACCATGAAACCAAATATAAATACACAGATAGAAATGAAAGACCGTAATTGAATACACGTCCCATCTCAACTTGACCATAGAAACGGCATCCCTCCAAGATGAGATTGAGGTGCCAAATATAACGAAAAAGCCACGCACCCATCTTACAAGCGAAATCTATCCGAATAGCTCTATGCAGCATCTGCACAACAGTATGCACACATTCACGCTACACACATGTTTACCATATAGCGTCAATTCAGTTCTGTATGGATTCAGAACGTGCATGCGTGTAGCTGATGCCAAGTTTGCATCGCGGGCGTGAACCGCAATTGGCAGGACAACACATGAGACACCGCCAGATAAAAAGGATTTCGCCTGAGCTTGCATAGATACACCGCTAAAATGACACCAGAGTATGAGGCCATTCCAAAGTGACACCTCAGCCATTATACATACTATCTACGAGATCATCAGCATTCGTCACCATCATCACAGACTAGGATTGACCCAAGTTCCATACCTTTACTATCCTCGCACGCCAGAGTTGATTGCGATTCGCGCAAGAACCACCCAGCTTCTATTCTTTTAAGTGCGATACACTATAAAACCACCGACACGAAGTAACAACAAGAACATCGCCTGCACACCAACGTAGGCTTGCCTACAACCACACACAAACTACTTGATAGAGTTTGTTTATTACTAAAGCAGATCATTCAGTAGCACCGCGACAAGTACACCAACATAGGCCTGCCTACAACCACACACAAACTACTTGATAGAGTCTGTTTACTGCCAAAGCAGATCATTCAGTAGCCACGCGACAAGTAAGAAAGCACCCTAATTTATGTACAAGACGGAGAGGCCTGCCTACAACCACACACAAGCTACCCACTAAAGTCTGTTTACTACTAAAGCAGATCATTCAGTAGCCATGCAACAAGTAAGAATGCAACTTAATTCATGTAATAAGAAAGCAACTTAATTCGTGTATAAAGAAAGCACCATAAGTTATATATAAAACGGAAAGGATGAATAATCTTCAACATACCTTCTCCATGTGGCAGATTTCGTTCCTTT